ATTTTGCAGAACCGAGAGTGAGCGAGAAAAACAAATGTCATGAAATCATTTAGAAAAAAAAACGCTATTTTTTTGCCATCTCCGTGAAGAAAAACGCCAAAGTGTTAGTGTTGTAAAGGGGAGGTTCTGCGGATAGGGGTAATTTAAGTTGACAGCTTGAATAACCTTGACCTTTACTGATTTGTTGACGACCTCCTGGTTGTGTTATTCTGCTATGTGTTTGGCTGCACTCTTCTCCATATAGACTTTTTTTCGATATATTTTTTTTTTTGCAAAATGGGGTTATGATAAACTTAAATATACAGTCGTCATGCCGCTTTATACAGCGAATGACAAAAATGAGGATTAATATAGAAAATTTCGTTAAAAGAAGGTGAAAGAATAAAGATAATTTGTGGTGAAACAGAACTATAAAGTGAGATGTTTCATTAGATTTTTTTGAAACAAAAAATCTTCAAAATTTTACCAATTAACCAACACTACTTTTGAAATTTGTGTAAATTAAGACAATTTGTAATTGAGATTTATGGATTTTAAGCTATTTTTATACTCAAAGTTGAAAACTGTTACAATTTTTTATTATTTTACAAAATTTACCAACACTGTTTTTAAAATGTTTATTTTTATAGCTGTTTATTATGCATTATTGAAAATATTTTCTTGGATTTAAAAAGTATTTCAGTTTTAGATATTAAATGGAAGAAATTAGTGTTCAAATATTTATGTTTGTAAAAGTTTTACCAACACTATTTTTTTTTTTAATTTGTATATATTAAGAATTTTGTATATTTTTACAACATTATATAAACTAATGGCTTTTACCTGTGGAAATTCATTAAAAAATTAAGTGTTACTTTCAATTTCTAGAAAATTAACCAACACTATTTTTAAAAACTTTAGAATTTTTTTAATTTGTATAAACTAATATCATCGAAGAGCCTTTGTTTGTGCATATTCATAAAAATTTATGTTTTGCTTTAAGTTTATGGAGAATTTACCAACACTATTTTTCAAAATATTGGAATTATGTAAATTTTGTTATACAATATAATCTAATGGCCTTTGTTTACGGAAATTCATAAAAAATATATTTTTCGCTTCAAATTTGTGGAAAATTAACCAACACAATTTTTTTAATTTTTGAATTTTATAGATTTTTATAACAAAATATGACCTTTTCATATGGAAATTTTGAAAAAAACTTAAAATTTTCATTGGGATGATCGAAAATTAACCAACACTATTTTATAAAATTATGGAATTTTATAGATGTTTATAATGCTATAGGGAAAAATGGCATTTGCTTGGGGATATTAATAAAAATTTTGGGGTTTACTTTAAATTTTGTGGAAAATTTACAAACACTATTTTTCAATATTTCGAAAATTTTTGTATTAAAAAACTTTTTTGATATAAATTGTACAAAATTAACCAACACTATTTTTAAAAAATTTCGCAAATTTTTTGTATGTAACATATAGAAAAGTCTTGCTTTTGAAATTTTATTTAGAAAAAAATAAATTTGTTTTACATTTATCAAAAATTAACCAACACTATTTCACAAAACTTAGGAAATTTATAGATTTTGATTACTCTATAGAATTAATGGCTTTGCTGGTGAAAATTAGTGAAAAATTTTGGTTTTACTTTAAAATTTGTGAAAAATTAACCAACACTATTTTTTAAAAATTTCGGAAATTTGCAAATTTTTTTAACTTAAATTATATTAATGACCTTTACTAGAGTTAATTTGTTAAAAAAAATAATTTTGCTTTTAAATTGTACAAAATTAACCAACACTATTTTTAAAAAATGTCAAAATTTGACAGATTTTTGGTATGTGATATACAGAAAAGTATTGCTTTTGGAAATTAATTTAATAAAAAATAAATTTCTTTCGCATTTATCAAAAATTAACCAACACTATTTTACTTAAATTGAAAATTTTATAGTTTTTTATAATGCTATTAGGATTATTTGCATTATTTTGTGGAAAGTAATGAAAAATTTAAGTTTTACTTAAAATTTGTGGAAAATTTACCAACACTACTTTTTCAAAATTTTTGATATTTGCAAGTTTTTTTAAATTAATATATATTAATGGTCTTTACTAGTGAAAATTTATTTCAAAAAATTATTTTGCTTTTAAATAGAAGAAAATTAACCAACACTATTTTTAAAAATTTCGATATTTGGCAGAATTTTGGTATGCAACAGTTAGAAAAGTTTGCTTTTGAAATTTCACTTAGAAAAAATAAATTTTCTTTTACATTTATCAAAAATTAACCAACACTATTTCACAAAACTTAGGAAATTGATAGATTTTTATTACCCTATAGAATTAATTGTATTTTCTGGGGAAATTTAGTGAAAAATTTAGGTTTTACTTTAAGTTTTGTGGAAAATTAACCAACACTATTATTCCAAAATTACGGAAATTTAGAGATTTTTTAAACTTAATTTATATTAATGGGCATTACTAGTAAAAATTTATTAAAAAAATTAATTTTGCTTTTAAATTGTAGAAAATTAACCAACACTATTTTTTAAAATTTTTAAAATTTGACAGATTTTTGGTATATTACATATAGAAAAGGCTGCTAGTTGTTGAAAACATTATGTCAATTTTAAAATTTTGTTTGCTCAGCCTTTTTATTGCCACTTTTGGTATAAATTTCCGTTTGTGCTGAAGAGCTGCTCACTTACATCATCATTTATGTTTTCTTTTTTTTAATAAATAAATGTTTTTATTTCAATATATTTTTTTGTTGCTGTTTTATATTCTTTTTTAAAATAAATATTTAAATAGCATTTGTTATGTTTTGCTATAGTAGCCGAGTAATAAAAATATTATATATTCAATGCAACAGTAAATGAATTGAAACCAACAATAATTTCAATTTCAATACAATGCATTTGTTGTTGTTGTTGCAGCTTTATAGCAATGTATATTACATACATACATATTCATATACAGTTATTATTTGCAAAAACCCCCCAAAGAGCCAATTCCCCAATTGGTTTAAAATTTTATTATTTCAATAAAAATTTATTTAGTGTGTATTATGATAAGGGAAAGGGGGTGGTAAGAAGGGGGCTTAAAACTACTACATACATACCATATGAACAAATATACAAATTTATTTATTTTTTTTAGATTTTCATTTAAAATCACGTTTGATTTTATTACATTTTTTGGTTTGTTATTTATTTTTAGTTTTTTTTTGTTTATGGTTTTATTATTGTTGCTGTAGCTTGTAGAGTGTAATTTCTTTTGGAAAATAATCACATTTAATAAATTATTGCGCCACAGTGCAAAACAAAAGTACTCACAATAGAAATATAAATGACCATAAAACAATATTTTTTGTTTCTTTACTGCACCATTTAACACTTAATAGTAGCTGTAGAATGGTCAGATTTTTTTTCTTCACCTCTTTTGTTTTTTGCATTTCTTTTTATATAGTTTTTTTCTTTAAACATATTTAGTTATGAATGTTTGAGTATGAAGAGTGAATGATGGTTTTTGGTTTTCTTTTATAATTTTTCTTTCAATATTTAACTTTTTTTAGTTTTTTTTTTTAGCTTTAAACAATTATACATAAAGATATTATAGAGTAATTTTGTTTATTTTGCAAATACTGAAGAGTTTATATAAGAAATACTTAAAGAAAACAACAATAAAACTCGTTGAAATCATGATTTCGATTCTATATTCTGAACAAAATTTCTATAGAAGTCTTGCTGCGAATCTGAGCAAAATTCAAGATCATATTTTGAGCAAAATTATCTTCCAAATTGAGACAAATCTACTATCACTTACACTATAGAAAATTTGCTCTCTTTGAGCAACTATGTTCTAGAGAAAATTTGCTCTCTTTGAGCAACTATTTTCTAGAGAAAATTTGCTCTCTTTGAGCTACTATTTTCTATAGAAAATTTGCTCTCTTTGAGTTACTATTTTCTATAAAAAATTTTCTCTCTTTGAGCAACTATTTTCTATAGAAAATTTACTCTCTTTGAGTGATTGTTTTCTATAGAACATTTTCTCTCTTTGAGCAACTATTTTCTATAGAAAATTTACTCTCTTTGAGAGACTATTTAATATAGACTATTTGCTCTCTTTGAGCAACTATTTTCTACAGAATATTTGCTCTAATTGAGCATCTATTTTCTATAGAAATTTTGTTCTCTTTAAGGAACTATATTTTACAGAAAATTTGCTCTCTTTGAGCATTTATTTTCTACAGAAAATTTGCTCTCTTTGAGCAACTATTTTCTATAGAAAATTTGCTCTCTTTGAGCAACTATTTTCTATAGAAAATTTACTCTCTATGAGCAACTATTTTCTATAAAAAATTCGTTCTCATTGAGAGACTAGTTTCTATAGAAAATTTGCTCTCTTTGAGCAACTATTTTCTGTAGAAAATATTGCTCTCTTTGAGTAACTATTTTCTGTGGAAATTAGGTCTCATAGAGACTTTATTTTCTAAAAAAAATGTTCTCTATTTGCTCTCCTTGCTCCATAGAAATTTGCTCTTTATGAGTCTATTTTCTATAGAAAATTTGCTCTTTTAGGAGTATAGTTTCTATAGAAAATTTGCTCTCTTTGAGCTACTAGTTTCAAGGAAAATTTGCTCTCTTTGTGCAGCTATTTTTTTATAGAAAATTTGCTCTCTTTGAGGAACTATTTTCTATGGAAAGTTTGCTCTCAAAGAGAGTTTATTTTCTTTAGCGAATCCGCTCTCTTTGAGATCTTTTTTTAAGCTGATCTTTTAGAAATCTTTATAGTATTCTTATCTGAACTCTTCTTTAATCTTAATTATAGTTTCTTGCATTCTTTCTTTTACTCAATTAATTTTCTTCTAAATTAATTAAAAAAAAATCTTTCTTTATTTTTTTAAATTTCTCTAAAACATATTTAACGAAACTATATACTATAAACTGCTAACTACTACTACAACAACATTACAAAACTCTACACTATTACAAAAACAAAGATTATAAAAAAGAAAAAGAAGCTGAAGAAAATGCACAAAAACTTTTTGTGGCGGAACAATTGATGAAATATAAAAAAGAACCCAAAACGGTTGATAGTCCTGATGAACAGGAACAAGAACGTCGTATTATGGAACAATATTCCATATCACCCACCACTGAAACTATGATCTCAGCTGATGGTGATCAGATAACTATACATCATCCTAGAGAAGAGCCAACACGAAAATCGAAAAAATTGAGAGATTTCTTTGTGGCCGAATTTGGTATTTAAAATTTTCAAAAATTTTCTTTATTAAAAAAAAAACTTCTCACTAAATACCTCTCAATCATGTAATTGTGCTCACACCAAGAATTTTATTGTCTCTCTTTTTATAATTGTTCTCTTTCTCTCTCTGTCACACAAGCACTGTACTCTCTTTTACTCTCTCCACTTGATATTGTAACGTTATAAACGTGTAGAGCAGCTGCTAAATATTGATGTTGTAGGAAATTGTATATAAATATGTAAGAAAATGTCCTGCTGATCCTTTCCTAGCATCACTTAATATTAAGTGTGTGTGTGTAAATAATTTAATTAATATATATTAATGTTGTTTAGAATTCCTTTGAATCCAACCTATAAAAACCAGCCTTAAACTTAGTCATATGCTTAAAAGGTAAATGGTTGTCAGTCGAATTCTTTAGCATTTAAAACCTTCCAACCCTGTGGTAGTTTTTGTTTACCTTCATTTTCATCATTGTATTTTTATTTTGAAAATATGTACAATTAATTTACTTATTTATCTTCTATTAAATGTCTATTGCTAAATATTTTTTTATAAATTTTGTTCTAATTATGTGTCTGTCCGTCCGTCCGTCCAACAACCTCTGCCACCTTGCCAATCAATTCTGTTTTTTTTTTTTTTTTCAAAATAAACATTATTTTATTGTAAAAATATTTTATATTATTAATTGTTATTGTATTTTAAATTTTACTTTTATTTATCGTAATAAAATTATGAAATTCTCTTATCTATGCCGTACCAGCTTTTGCCTATTTGTGTGTCTTAACAAGTGAAATATTGTTTTGATTTGTTTATACAAATTATAGGTAAAATGTTTTCAAGAAACCAGACCCTATTAAGTGAGTAATAATTGCAGAAAGATACCAGCAGTAAAAAGCAAAGAAATGAATCACTTCACATAGATAAACTTAGCCTTAGAAATGGAGGCAAATTTCTTTAGAAACTGCTCAAAAACTGAAATGAATTTCTGTTAAAGAGACACTCATTTCTTAAGAAAATTTGCTCTCTTTGAGCAACCGTTTTGTATAGAAAATTTGCTCTCTTTGAGACACCATTTTCTATAATATATTTGCTCCCATTGAGCAACTATTTCCTATAGAAAATTTGCTCTCTTTGAGCAACTATTTGCCATAGAAAATTTGCTCTCTTTGTGAGACTAATTTGCATAGAAAATTTGCTCTCTTTGAGAGACTAATTTCCATAGAAAATTTACTCTCTTTGAGAGACTAATTTACATAAAAAATTTGCTCTCTTTGAGAAACTAATTTCCATAGAAAATTTGCTCTCTTTGAGAAACTAATTTCCATAGAAAATTTGCTCTCTTTAAGAGACTAATTTCCATAGAAAATTTACTCTCCTTTTTGCTCAAAGAGAGCAAATTTTCTATGAAAAATAGTAGAGTAAATTTTCTGTGGAAATTAGTCTCTCAATGAGAGAAAATTAGCTCTCTTAAATCAGCTATGTTCTATAGAATATTTACTCTCTTTGAGAGACTGTTTTCTATAGAAAGTTTGCTCTCTTTGAGAGACTATTTTCTACAGAAAATTTGCTCTCTTTAAACAACTGTTTTCTATAGAAATTTTCCTCTCTCTTCTATAGAAAATTTGCTCTTTTTGAGCAACTATTTTCTATAGAAAATTTGCTCTCTTTGAACAACTGTTTTCTATAGAAAATGTTGCTCTCTTTAAGCAACTATTTCCTATAGAAAATTTGCTCTCTTTGAGCAACTATTTTCTATAGAAAATTTGCTTTATTTGAGCAACAATTTTCTATAGAAAATTTGCTCTCATTGAGTAACTATTTTCTATAGAAAATTTGCTCTCTTTGAGCAACTATTTTCTATAGAAAATTTGCTCTCTTTGAGCAACTATTTTCTATATAAAATTTGCTCTCTTTGTGAAGCTATTTTCAATAAAAATTTTGCTCTTTCTAAGCAACTATTTTCTATAGACAATTTGCTCTCTTTGAGCAACTATTTTCTATAGAAAATTTGCTCTCTTTGAGCAACTATTTTCTATAGAAAATTTGCTCTCTTTGAGCAACTATTTTTTATAGAAAATTTGCTCTCTTTGAGCAACTATTTTCTATAAAAAATTTGCTCTCATTGAGCAACTATTTTCTAGAGAAAATTTGCTCTTTTAGAGCTACTATGTGCTAGAGAAAATTTGCTCTCTTTGAGCAACTATTTTCTATAGAAAATTTGTTCTCTTTGAGCAACTATTTTCTATAGAAAGTTTGCTCTCTTTGAGCAACTATTTTCTATAGAAAATTTGCTCTCTTTGAGCAACTATTTTCTATAAAAAATTTGCTCTCTTTGAGCAACTATTTTCTATAGAAAATTTACTCTCTTTAAGCAACTATTTCCTATAGAAAATTTGCTCTCTTTGAGCAACTATTTTCTATAGAAAATTTGCTTTATTTGAGCAACAATTTTCTAAAGAAAATTTGCTCTCATTGAGTAACTATTTTCTATAGAAAATTTGCTCTCTTTGAGCAACTATTTTCTATAGAAAATTTGCTCTCTTTGTGAAGCTATTTTCTATAAAAATTTTGCTCTTTCTAAGCAACTATTTTCTATAGAAAATTTGCTCTCTTTGAGCAACTATTTTCTAAAGAAAATTTGCTCTCTTTGAGCAACTATTTTCTATAGAAAATATGCTCTCTTTAAGCAAATATTTTCCACTATTTTCTATAATAAATTTGCTCTCTTAGTAACACAACATTCAATAGAAAATTTGCTCTTTTAGAGATGCTCTATTCTTTCAGTTGATTTACTATAAATTTGCACTCTTGGTGCAACTATTTTCTATAGAAAATTTGCTCTCTTGGAGCAACTATTTTCTATAGGAATTATGCTCTCTTTGAGAGACTATTTTCTATACAAAATTTGCTCTCTTTGAGTAACAATTTTCTATAGAAAATTTGCTCTCTTTAAGCAACTATTTTGTGGAGAAAATTTGCTCTCTTTGAGCAACTATTTTCTATAGAAAATTTGATCTCTTTGAGAGACTATTTTCTATAAAAAAATTTGATCTCTTTGAGCAACTCTATAGAAAATTTGCTCTCTTTGTGAGACTATTTTCTATAGAAAATATGCTCTCTTTGTGAGACTATTTTCTATAGAAAATTTGCTCCCTTTGAGTAACTATTTCCTATAAAAAATTTTCTCTCTAGGAGAGTCTTTTTTCTAGTGAAACTTTCCTTTCTTTGAGGGTCTATTTTCTATTTGAAAAGTTTAAGTTTTAGAGCTGATTTTCTATAGAGAATATGTTCTCTTTAAGAGCTAATTTTCTTTTCCATAGATTTTAGATTACTTTGTTAAAAAAAAAATAAATTATTAACAGAAAAACTCTTTCCATATCAATTGAAGAAAAGTGCTGGTAATATCGTCGTCGATAAGTTGTTAAATAAGAAAAAAAAAACATGAAATAGTTTTTTGTCATGTTCTCATGACTGAACTATTAAAGAGTTTTTAATTTTATTGTTTTATAGGGAAATGAAATATAAATAACTTTAGACATGATTTGCATTATTTTATTTTGCCACAATTTAAGGAATTTGAAATTGAAATCTATAAAACATGAACAAAAAATGTTGTAAGGTTAAAAATCATTTATTTAGTATAGTGGTTTTTAAGGCGTTTTAGTTTAAGGTTGACGTGATATATGCTTTACTATGCTGACTTAATATGATTTTCGTTAAGCAATCTCAACCTAACTGCGGTTGCGTTTGAAAGCCAACAGTTAAACTTGTTGTATATAACAATGACCTTGAATGTGTTACGTGTAACAAAGAATAAAACGAAATAGAAACAAGAGAAGAAAAACAGAATTCTTGCAACTGAAAATCTATTTAATGTTACCTGCCACCAAACCAAAACTGCCACAAATTGCTACTTTCAGCTAAACCAACAAAGTCAAGTCAAACATTCATTCATTCATTCATTCAACCAACCAAACAACCATCATCATCATCACTTAAATGTACATCATGCAATCATTGTAATGAAGGCACGTAATGTTCTAAACAAGGTTACGTATACGCCCCTTTGCACATACAGAATATTTAATACAAAAAACATTTTATATATATTTTTATTTGAGTTTTGCTTTTTGTTTTCTTTTTATTCTTCCGATTTTCCATCATTTCCTGTAAATGTATTTTTTTCCTCTCTTTCACTAATAAATACTTTTCACTTTATCGTTCATTACTTTCTAATGTTCAAAATGAATATAGAAAAAAAAAAAAAACAAATATAATTTGATTTTCATTTGCTAAATGAAAAACGTACTCAGAAGTTTTCTGCAAGACAAATTGTCGAACAGTTTGACAGCTAGACAGACAAACGGATAATAATTTTTTTCTTGCAGCAGAGATGTCGTCGTCAATGTTTGTTGAAGAAAACAGATTTAAATAAATGAGTTTATGATAAATCTAATTACATATTAATATTTATTACGAATAATATTACGTTATAATTTAAGAGGAATAGAAAATGCAAAAATAAATTTAGATTCAATAAAAATGGAGAAAGGAACTATTTGGTTCTAAAAGAACTAGAACAGAACTAGAATAGAACTAGAACAGAACTAGAACAGAACTAGAACAGAACTAGAATAGAACTAGAACAGAACTAGAACAGAACTAGAACAGAACTAGAATAGAACTAGAACAGAACTAGAACAGAACTAGAATAGTACTAGAACAGTACTAGAACAGTACTAGAACAGAACTAGAACAGAACTGGAACAGAACTAGAACAGAACTAGAACAGAACTAGAGCAGAACTGGAACAGAACTAGAACAGAACTAGAACAGAACTAGAACAGAAATATATATACATAGATATAGAAAATAGTTGCTCTCAGAGAGCAAATTTTCTATAGAAAATAGTTGCTCTCAGAGAGCAAATTTTCTATAGAAAATAGTTGCTCTCAGAGAGCAAATTTTCTATAGAAAATAGTTGCTCTCAGAGAGCA